TCACCTGATTGATTCCCTCAATTGTTCTTGCCCAGCAACGGACCTGAACTTTCCCTGTTTCTGTGTGTGCTTTCTCTGTTCCTGTGCTGAACTTTCTGTTTCTATGTGTTTGTACACCTTGTTGCTACAGGCCCTCCCTTGTTTTCCCATGCCTCCCGCTTTGAGCCCAGAAACATTTTAAGATTTCTGCTTGTTTGGTTCCTGTGGTTAGGCTGCTCAAACTGTCATGTCTGCCCCTGTGTATGTTCCACCTGCCTTTGTTTTCCACTGGACCCCTGCCCTGTCTGCCTGCAGGGGTTTCAAGCTCACTTCTCTTAATAGTGCCTCAGTCTCTGCATCTGTGACATAGGTCATTGGGTTCCCTAATCTTCGCAGACACAACCCCATATCTGCCTCAGATTCTGGGCACTTTGGGGGTAGTGGGCTGGGGGGCCAGGGTGGTAGGGCTGGAGACAGGAGGGGCACCTGAGAAGATTCCAAGGGCCTTCCCCGTGCACCAGGTTTGTTTATGAACATTCCCAACCCCCGGGTGAGATGGATCCTGCTCAACGTTCAGAAATATTTGTGTGTCCAGGGAATGTTCCAGGTGTTATGTAGATATCAGCAAACACAACCTAGGCCCAGTCTTCCTTCTAGTACAACAAGGTCGTCACCAAACAAATAAAAATACAATACAATATCATGTTGGGATAAGGGGTGTGAATTAAGCAGGGCGAGTGGATGGAGCCTGAGGGGAGTGCAATATACAAGTAAGGACTCTCTGAAGAGATGGCATTTGAGCTGAGAAAGAGCCATGCAGATATCTAAGGAAGAGTAGCAGGCAGAAAAAGCTGCAGGTGCAAAGGCCCTGGGGCAGGAATGACCATGGTCTCTTATAAGTGCAGCAAGGAGGCCACTGAGCCAGGAGAGGTGAGCTGGAGCCAGATCTCATAGGAATGATTGTGGTGTTTATTCTGAGAGAACAGGAAAGCCCCTGGAGGGTTGTAAGCAGGGGAATGACACAAACTATTTTACATATGTGTCCTGGAGAGATGAATGCCAGTGGGCAAGTGGACACATTGTAAGGGGCAGTCAATGTGACTGTGATCTGCCTCTCTTTTGGGGTTTCCTGTGGCAGACTGGGGATCACCAGCTTGTGGGGGCGGGTATGGGAAGGAGCTGGGACTGCTTAACAGCTTTGACTTTCTTATGTGACCTGCCCCAGAGGAGAAGGACATCACCAAGGCAATTACCTTATCAGATAAAGGCACACTTGCCCCTGGAGATACGTTCACCCCTGAGGCCCAAGCATGAGATATCAAGGACCCACCAGGCAACCAGTCCAGCCTCTCATTGGTGCCCACAGAGGTCCCTCTGCCTGGGGTTGGAAGTCCCCAGACCTAAACCTGGCACCAAGCACCAAGCACCAAGCACCAAGTACAACATCAATCCAGGACCCTTCGTTTCCCCATCTGGGCAAGTTGGGGTGGAGACAAGGTAATGATTGAAAGGTGTGATGGCTAAAGCTGGATGTGTGGAGTACCCCTAGGAATCCTCCTTGAACCTCTCTGAGCCTCAGTTTCCCTCTCTGCACAATGGGAATAATAGTGGCATCTTCATGGGGGTTTATTGCAAGGATCCATGAGGTTACATGTGTGTAGGGCCTGGGCATACCTTGCACTGCAGTTGTGAAGTTTTGGGTTTTCCATTGCTGATCCCTTATGAAAACCAGGCTCCAGGGTCCCACGTGGGCTGGAATCCTGTTCCTGATACTTGTTACAACCATTAGGCCAAAGTTCTTAACCTCTCTGTGCCTCAGTTTCCTCATTTGTACAATGGAACATAACTTTATAGGGCTGTAAAGAGGAGCTAATGAAACATTTGCACAAAGCACCTGGGGGAAGCCCCCCACACAGTAAGTACTCCCTAAAGGACAGCCAGTGTAGTGACTGTTGGGAGCACCCTCCCCCTCCAGGTGTGGCACAAGCAGTATGTTCTAAAAATGGACACTCTGCAACCAACCTATTTGATTCTGAGTTCTGGCTCTTTCACACCCTATCTTGGGAACCGTGAGAATGTGACTTCACCCGTTTGTGCCTCAGTTTCCCCATGTATAAGGCAAAGTAAAAATAGTTCTCACTTCAAAGGGTTGTTGTGAGGTTAAGTTAGCACACAAAAGCACTCAGTACAGTTCCTGGAATATATGTTTGCTATTTTCTTGTTACTATGGATATTCCTATTCATTCCCTGACCTCAGTGGCAGGTTGTGATGGGGTCTGGGCAGGTTGGGCAGCCCAGTAAGGAATGCCTGAGCTGCCCAGGCCTAGAGGTCACCCCAAGGAGCCCTGTAATCAGCTGTAATCAGGCAGTCCTGCCCCACCTCCTCCTTCCCTGGGTATATCTGGGCTGGTCCAGATCCAGGCTCTGTATTGGCAAAGGAGGGCAGCTGCACTGGAAATCATGGGAAAGGCAGTGAGTGGGGTCTGGGGCCAGGGGTCGGGGGTGGGGAGGGTTGGAGGTTGGAGGCAGGGTTCTGGTGGGATCTGATGCCTCCCCTCTCCCCCTGCCCCCAGGAGAAATACGAGTTGTACTCAGTAGAGCTGGGTCCTGGCCCTGATGGGGACATGGCAGCCAAGCTGAGCAAGAAGAAGGCAGGCAGTGGAGGGGGCAAGAGAAAGGAGAAGCTGGAGAACATGAAGAAGGAGATGGAGATTGTGAGCATGGGGCTGAAGGGCTGGGTAGGGGGCTGGGGTGAGGGCCAGTGAGAGCTGGACAGTGAATGTCCTGCCCCCACCACACAGAATGACCACCAGCTGTCAGTAGCGGAGCTGGAACAGAAATATCAGACCAGTGCGACCAAGGTGAGCTGGGGGCAGAGGGAGGAGTGGGTGAAGAGATGGGTAACGGTGAAGAGAGAGAAAAAGGGAAAATGCATGAGAGAGAGAGACAGAGAGAGGTAGAGAGGGAGAGAGAGGAGGAGAGGAGAGAAAAGAAGCAGATAAAGAGCAACAAAGAAAGAGGCAGAGAGATGGGCAAGAAAGAGAAACAGGGTAGAGGCAACAGGAATACAGAGACAGAAAGTTGAGAGAGAGAGAGAGACATAAAGTGTGGAAGGGGAAAGGGACAGGAACAGAGACAAAGATAGAGAAAGAAGGAAAGAAAGAAAGAAAGAAAGAAAGAAAGAAAGAAAGAAAGAAAGAAAGAAAGAAAGAAAGAAAGAAAGAAAGAAAGAAAGAAAGAAAGAAAGGGGCACAAGGCAGATGGGGGAGCAGAGGGAGGGAAACAGGGGAAGGAGAGACAGAAGAGTGTATGGGAAGAGGAAAGCCCTTAGCAGCCACTGCCACCCCATCCTGTCCCCAGGGCCTGTCTGCCAGCTTGGCTGCGGAGCTGCTGCTGCGGGATGGGCCCAACGCGCTGCGGCCACCAAAGGGTACCCCAGAGTACGTCAAGTTCGCACGGCAGTTGGCAGGCGGTCTGCAGTGCCTCATGTGGGTGGCTGCTGCCATCTGCCTCATTGCCTTTGGCATCCAAGCCAGTGAGGGTGACCTCACCACTGACGACAATGTGAGTGTCGGGTACTAAGGGGACAGACACTGGACACGGGGTCCTGGAGGACAGAGAACATTAAGCATGAGACTCAGGACACCAGGGACATAGGATGGGGATGCAGAGACACAGAAATGCAGCTCCAAGACATGCTCATGGAGGTGGGGATTGACAGACCCAAGATCACAGGAGACAGAGCAGATAATGTGTCTCAGATGTGGAGGACATAGGTGGGGATACAAAGGCAAAGAAATGCAATACTTAAGAGTTGGGGCTAGGGAAATGGAGGACATGGGACAGATCAAGGACAGAGGGCACAGGGGACATTGGGAATAAGGGACAAAAGACTCAAGACACAGTACATGGAGAGACATAAGACATCAGACAGGGAAACACAGACACAGAGACTATCGAGATGGAGGACAAGAGGACATTAGATATATGACAGGGGTCAGAACAAGAGACATGGAGATTTAGGGACATGTGACTTTGAATGTGACATAGGATGGGGACTCAGAATTACATAGACATGGAAGACACTGGACATAGAAACTTGGAATTTGGAACCTGAGACTCTTGATCGTGAAGTTCACGGAATATGAAGCAGAAGACGGACAGCACACAGACACATGGAAACGGGACACGGGGGCACAGGAACTATTGTGCCCAGGGGACACAGGGGATGCCAGGCAGATTATGAAAACAGAATAGGAAACGTGGAGCACAGGAAATACAGGCTGTGGGAGTGTGAAGAGACACATGGCAGAGGACATGTAGAATGCGAGATTGGAGAACACAGGAAAAGGGGACCCATATGACCAAGGTACTTGGTGACATGGAGCACAAGTCATAGGCTATGGGGACATGAGAGACCTAGGATCCAGGGGCCAGAGAATATGGGATACACAAGACAATGAGAATTTGGGGCCGTTTAAGGTGGATATGAGGAATATGAGGATAGGAGACAAAAGCCACAGGGAATAGTGCATAAGGGTTCCTAGTAGGTGGGGAAAATCCTGGTGGAAGTGACCCTAAGAACACCAGGGGACCAGGGTACAGATCGGTGGCCTTGTACGGGGAGCTTCCAGCCTCTACTCATAAGCTGACTCCCTCACCTCCGCCCCCAGCTGTACTTGGCACTGGCTCTCATTGCTGTGGTTGTGGTCACCGGCTGCTTCGGCTACTATCAGGAATTTAAGAGCACCAACATCATCGCCAGCTTCAAGAACCTTGTGCCCCAGGTGGGTCCCACAGCCCTCCACCACTTCAGATTCCAGAGACTCCACACCAGCGCAGGCAGGCTCCTGGCATCTGTGTGGCCCCTGCCTTTAGGCCCAGCCTGCCCTTTGCCCTTGGCCTCCATCTGTCCCTATAGGTCCTCACCTCACCCCCTGTTCACCTCCCCACAACTCCATTGCACTCAGCAACTTCCAACCTCACCTGTTATCCACAACTCTGGTGCCCCTGCCCCACAGCAAGCAACTGTGATCCGAGATGGGGACAAGTTCCAGATCAACGCAGATCAGCTTGTGGTGGGTGACCTGGTGGAGATGAAGGGTGGGGACCGAGTGCCCGCCGACATCCGCATCCTCCAAGCCCAGGGCTGCAAGGTGGACAACTCCTCGCTGACGGGAGAGTCGGAGCCACAGACCCGCTCCCCTGAGTGTACACACGAGAGCCCACTGGAGACCCGCAACATCGCCTTCTTCTCCACCATGTGCCTCGAGGGTCCGTGAGGCCCTTGCCTGCCCACCCAGCTGACCACGCTGCCGCAGCACTCCCTATCCCTACCTCCATTGCCCTTCTTCTGCTACCTTCTGAGACACACTGCCTCCCATTTCACATGACCGCCACCTCTTTAAGTCGTACTACCTCTCTAGCTCCTGTTATTGCTACTCTCTTCCCAGGTCACACTGCCTCCACTGCCTTACATCACAGCCCCCTCCTTCAGTTCACGCTGCTGTGCATGCCTCACTGCTGCCCTCCCAGCCCTGAGTCACCCTCTTGGCCCCACTGCAGGCACAGCACAGGGCCTGGTGGTGAACACGGGTGACCGTACCATCATCGGGCGCATCGCATCACTGGCTTCTGGAGTAGAAAATGAGAAAACACCCATCGCTATCGAGATTGAACATTTTGTGGACATCATTGCAGGCTTAGCCATCCTCTTTGGTGCCACATTTTTTGTGGTGGCCATGTGCATTGGCTACACCTTCCTGCGGGCCATGGTCTTTTTCATGGCCATTGTGGTAGCCTATGTACCGGAGGGGCTGCTGGCCACTGTCACGGTGAGTTGGGGAGGCAGAAGGGCGGTCCATCTGTCCATTCATCCAGGCTTCCCTCCACCATCTCCCATCTTCCTATCTGTCTATCTATTTATTCACCTCCCATCCTCCCACCCACCTTCTCATCGTCCATCTTTCCCTCCCACCCCCCATCCCTCCACCTATCCATCCAGTCAGCAAACATTCCTGAGGCTTCTGTGGGCCATGTCCTGTGCCACATGCTAAGGACTCAGAGATGAAAAGGCAGGGTCCTTGACTGAAGGAGGCTGAGGCTTGAGGGTGTGGACAACCTTCAACAGTCAGTTCAGAGGAGGCTGAGGGAATGTTCATTTTCTTATTTTGTTGATTTGTTAATCCTCATCTGAGTATATATTTTTTCCATTGCTTTAGAGAGAGTGGAAGGAAGGGGAGAGAGATATGGGGGTTGGGGGGAGAGAGAGGAAGAGAGAGAGAGAAACATTGATGTGTCGATTGCTTGCCTCCCGCACTGACTGCTGCTGGGGATCGAACCTGCATCCCAGGTGCATGCTCTGGACTGTGAATTGAACCTGTGACCCTCCAGTGCACAGGCCAATGCTCTGAACCACACTGGCCACATTTCTCATTTTAATTGTGTTGATAAGTGAACTTACAGAACCTCGGCTAGGGCAGCTTACAGAGGGGCCTGGCTCTGTTTATCTGGGTGAATTAGGGAGGCATCCCAAGTAGGAAGCACAGGTTGAACAAAAGGGTGTAGGCAAGAGAAAGCCTGGGTTTTGTGGGGGAATGCTGCATAATCAGTACTGTGGCTGGGGTAAGGGATCCCCAATGCCAAGAGGAGGGAAGTGGGTCTGGAAGCAAAGACTGGTCTCCAGGTGGCTTTTCTCACCTTCACCCAGGTCTGCCTGTCTCTGACAGCCAAGAGGCTGGCCAGCAAGAACTGTGTAGTCAAGAACCTGGAAGCAGTGGAGACACTGGGCTCCACGTCAGTGATCTGCTCTGACAAGACGGGGACCCTCACTCAGAACCGCATGACTGTGTCCCATCTGTGGTTCGACAACCACATCCACTCAGCTGACACCACGGAAGACCAGTCAGGTTTGGGAGTCCGACGAGACAGGGCCTGGAGCAGGAGGGAGGCTTAGATGGGAGCTCGGAGGTTACTGAAGAGAACCTGGGAGGGCTATGCATTCATGGAGAGGAACTCCAACCAGATGGGCCCAGAGTCCAGGGCGGGGCTTGGTATGGAGTCTCAGGGGACTCTCATGGGAGACTCCACACTGGGTCTGAAGAGAGGGCTCCGTCTTAGGGTATGAGGGAGGGTTTGGGTCCCACACAGGTCTGGAGAGGGGAATCCTGTCCTAAATTGGGGGAGGGGGGTTCGGTTGTGATGTGGGAGAGCCGCCGCTCTGTGTCTGGTGCAGTCTGGTGTAGTTGCCTCGAGGCCCCAGCCTGGGCGTCTGTCCTCCAGGGCAGACGTTTGACCAGTCCTCGGAGACATGGCGGGCGCTCTGCCGCGTGCTCACCCTGTGCAACCGAGCTGCCTTCAAGTCGGGCCAGGACGCGGTGCCCGTGCCAAAGGTGAGAGCCGGGGGACTTGGGGGATAACGGGAGCCGGGAGCCTGGGACAGCCCGGCGCGCACCTGACGCCCTCTCCTCCCAGCGCATCGTGATCGGGGACGCATCAGAGACGGCGCTGCTGAAGTTCTCCGAGCTGACGCTGGGCAACGCCATGGGCTACCGAGAACGCTTCCCCAAAGTCTGCGAGATCCCCTTCAACTCCACCAACAAGTTCCAGGTGCGAGCCCGCCCTGGCCGGCCCCCACTGCCAGCCCGCCCACAGCAAGCCCGGCTCACTGTAGTCTCCACCCACATTCGGGGCTGGCCTGCGGCTGGGCTTCGCTGTCTCCTCCCTCTCGCCCGGCTCCCTTCTCGCCCGGCTCCCTTCTCGCCCGGCTCCCTTCTCGCCCGGCTCCCTTCTCGCCCACCTTTCTCGCCCACCTATGGCCAGGCCACGCCCAGCCCTTACCCCCGGGCTCTTCGCCTGCTCTCTGCTGTCAGGACTCCACCTCCAAAGCCCACCTATGGCCAGGCCACGCCCAGCCCTTAGCCCCGGGCTCTTCGCCTGCTCTCTGCTGTCAGGACTCCGACAGGTGCCGGACCAACTCCGGCGCTCAATCAGTCCATTCCCGGCACCCAGGCCCATAACTACAGCCCCTCCCCAAACCTCGGCCTCTAGCGAGGACCTGCCCAGCCCCTACCAGTCAGCCATGGGGAACCTTTTGAGCTCGGCGTGTCAGCATTTTGAAAAACCCTAACTTAACTCTGGTGCCGTGTCACATATAGAAATTTTTTGATATTTGCAACCATAGTAAAACAAAGACTTATATTTTTGATATTTATTTTATATATTTAAATGCCATTTAACAAAGAAAAATCAACCAAAAAAATGAGTTCGCGTGTCACCTCTGACACGCGTGTCATAGTTTCGCCATCACTGCCTAGTCACCCTAAGGCTCTTCGGTCAGCCCCGCCCCCTTCCCTCTCCACCCGGCCCACTACACCGTCTGCTGATGGCCTGCAGCTGTCCATCCACACCCTGGAGGACCCGCGGGACCCGCGGCACGTGTTGGTGATGAAGGGCGCCCCTGAGCGTGTGCTGGAGCGCTGTAGCTCCATCCTCATCAAGGGCCAGGAGCTGCCCCTGGACGAGCAATGGCGTGAGGCCTTCCAGACGGCTTACCTCAGCCTGGGAGGCCTGGGCGAACGCGTGCTGGGTGAGATGGCCAGGGCGGGGTAGTGAGGGGGAAACCGGTGTTTAAGAAGCTAGCACAGAGCGAGGCCAATCCTCCCTGCCCTTTCCTGACTGCTGACCTGCCCCAGTCTACACACTCACCTTTGTTTTCCCCTATTTCACTCCTGATCTCTGCCTATGCCCAATTCCTACCTTGTCTCAGCCTCTCCAGACCTGTCCTCACTTGGACCTTCCCTATCCTGACCTGACCTTTGACCCATTGGTTTTCCTAGCTCTTGCCCCAATTGATGATCTGCCTTTGCTTTCACCTCCACCTTTCAGAGTCCTCCTCTTGACCCTTTGACCTTCCCCAATCCTTGTCCTGACCTCTGACCTCCCCCAATTCTGTCCTGACTCCTTAAACTTTCCTAACCCCTTCCTCGGCCCTGGAAGGCACAGACTTGTGGTCTAATTCTGGAGTTTTCATTTCACTTGCTGTGCAATGACTGGCAGGAATTGTCCCCTATCTAAGCCTGTTTTTTCATCTGCAAGAGGAGGATCCTAGTAGGCTCACAGGGTGGGTGTAAGAATAGATTCAGATAATGTGAATGAAGGGTGCAGCACAGGGTCAGGCATCACGGGTGCTTGGTGCAAGGGGCCTGGCCTTGCTAGCAAAGGGTCCACTCAGGACTCTTTCTCTGATTTTTCCTATTTTCTGATCAGGCTTCTGCCAGCTCTACCTGAGTGAGAAGGACTACCCGCCTGGCTATGCCTTCGACGTGGAGGCCATGAACTTTCCAACCAGTGGTCTGTGCTTTGCGGGACTTGTGTCCATGATAGACCCGCCCCGGGCCACTGTCCCTGATGCTGTGCTCAAGTGCCGCACAGCAGGCATTCGGGTATGCCACTTGGGAAAGGACCAGGCAGGGGCAAGAACAGAAGATGGCAGTATTTGGGGATGAGGAACCCTGTGTTATCTGAAAATAGCTTGAATCAAAAAGGGAATATATTGGTTCATGAAACTAAAAGTTCTGGGGAATGAAGCTTCAGATATAGCTGCATGCAAGCGTTCAGTGTCATTAGGAATTTGCCTTCATGTGCCAGCTCTGCTTTTCTCTCTGCTGGCTTTATTCTCAAGCAGTCCCTCCATTTTGGTAGACAAACATGACCATCCCCCAGCAGCTCCAACTTACCTGTTTAGCCACCCACTCTTTCTGTGCCTCTTTTGCAGTTGCACTAGATGGGGTCACATGTTCATCCCTGAGCAGTCACTGTGGCTGGGGGATAGAATACCTTGGCCAGAGACCTCAACTAGAAGCTGGGGGGAGGAGTGATTCCCCAAAGACAAATCAAGGGCGGGAGAGTCAATGCTGAGCAAACATCACCCCCAAGTCTTTCCCATGGTCTGGAAGACCCTGTAGACCTGAGCACAGTTACTTTTCGAAGCCCATTCCTTAGTTCTCTACCTCTTGTTCACTCCTCTCCAGTCATCTTGGCCTGCCCGTTGTTCCTCCAATAGTTCAGGCATGTTCTCACCTCTATCATTTTGCACTGGCTGTTTCCTTTGCCAGGAACACTCTTCCCCCCAGATTTCTATGTGGCCAACTCTCACCTCTTTCAGGTGTCTGCTCAAATGTCACCTTCTTGACAGGCTTTCTCTGGACACACTTAAAATTGAACCCCCCCCCCCCTTTTTTTTTTCACCCAACACTTGCCATCCCCTTTGCCCAGTTTAATTCCCCCTCCTTTTAACATGCTATATCATTCATTTCTAATTAAAAAATTGTTCTGTCTCTCACACCAAAATGTCAACTCCATGAAGACAGGGATTTTTGTCTGTTTTGTCTCTGCTACTTCCAAGGCACACAGCAAGTGGTCACAATTGGTTGAATAAATGAATGAGTATATCACCAGGAAAGACAGCAAGAATGGGCTGATATGAAGGAGTCAAGGGTCTGCTGGTCCTTCCCACAGGTGATTATGGTGACAGGTGACCACCCCATCACAGCCAAGGCTATTGCGGCCAGTGTGGGCATCATCTCTGAAGGCAGTGAGACAGTGGAGGACATCGCTGCTCGTCTCCGTGTGCCTGTAGAGCAGGTTAATCGGAAGTAAGCCCCCTTCAGCCTCCCCATGGATCTTCCCATGCCCTACCCGGACTGAGGGCCCAGTGATGCCCTCCCACCTTCCTCCCCAGGGATGCCCGTGCCTGCGTGATCAATGGCATGCAGCTGAAGGACATGGACCCATCAGAGCTGGTCGAGGTGCTGCGCACCCACCCTGAGATGGTGTTTGCTCGTACGAGTCCCCAGCAGAAGCTAGTGATTGTGGAGAGCTGCCAGCGACTGGTGCGACCTTGCTGATGGAGGTGGGCAGAAGGGCTGGGCTGGCCCTGGGCTGGCCTTTCACTGACCACCTGCCCACTTCCACCCATTCCCTGCAGGGTGCAATCGTGGCTGTGACAGGGGATGGTGTCAATGACTCCCCAGCCCTGAAGAAGGCAGACATTGGTGTGGCCATGGGCATTGCTGGCTCAGATGCTGCCAAAAATGCAGCCGACATGATCCTGCTGGATGACAACTTTGCCTCCATTGTGACGGGCGTGGAGCAGGGTCCGGGCTGGGTCAGAGATAGGGGCAGGAAGTGTGGGCACAGGAGGAAGTGTTCTGCGAGGAGGCTGAGGTGCCTACTGTACTCCCATAGGCCGACTGATCTTCGACAATCTGAAGAAGTCCATCGCTTACACATTGACCAAGAACATCCCTGAACTGACGCCATACCTCATTTACATCACTGTCAGTGTGCCCTTGCCCCTCGGGTGCATCACTATCCTCTTCATAGAACTCTGCACTGACATTGTGAGTCTATAGCCCCATGCCTCCTCCCACACGTGGCCATAGACGTATGTCCATAGTTAGACATGATGGGCAGAGACCACCACATTCACTCTTGGAGATAGACAGGCAGGAAGGTAGACACAGACAGAACTACACACAGGTAAATGCTTAGGTAGGTATGGACAAAACCCATGGACATAACCCATGGACACACATGGACTCAGATACAGATACTCAGATAAACAAAAGTATTAACAGATACAGATGTCTGGCTAAACTTGGATCATAGACAGACATCTCTCAATAGGTATGGGCAAATAAATACCGTCAGATAGACTCAGGCAGACAGATATGAAAGAGCCACAAATGTAACCAGAAGCTGGCCATATTGACATGTTTATTCAACAACTTACATAGTGCCTAGTCTGGACCAGGCACACATTAATTTACTTTTGTCCTCATAGCCACTCTATGACATGGGCTTTATTTATCACCCTTGTTTTACTGATGAGCTCATTGGGCATAGGTAGGTTGAGTAACTTGCCCCAGGTTACACAGCTAATAAGTGGCACAGCAGGGATATGAGGCCAGGCAGTCAGATGCCCCAGAGCCTGTGCTCTTGATCTGTACACCCTGCTGCCACTCTGTAGTCACACACATATGGGGTGGAACATGTTTTTTTCCTGCCAAGATCCATTTGGATATTTACAACATCATTTGCTTAATATAATTTACTTAATATAAGTTATGTTGCTATGAAAAAAGTTCCTAGACTTATTGGATTTTGAGTCCTGCATAAGGTTGCCTTGGCAGGGCCAGACCAAATGATTTTGTGGGCCTCATATGGCCATGGGCTGGACATTCTCCACCCCTGGATACAGAGAAACAAAGATAGTGACAGACATAGAAGCAGGGACACAGAGTCACAAAAGCAGAGACACAGTCACAGAGAAAGATACCAGAGATGGGGACAAAGAAACAAAGTAAGAGAAGAAAAGAGAGAGGCCCAAGACTAGAGTACCCCAGAGTAAAAAACAGAGACAGAGAAGGAGGAGGCAGCAGCAAGGGAGGAGACAGAGACAGAAATGGGGAGAGACTATGCAGTAGTGCAGACAAATGCAGATGTTCTGATAGAGACGGACAGCAGGACATATGTGGACACAGATGTGGAGTAGATATGCCAACACTCCTGACAGGGGCCAGCTGGACCTAGGCTGTTCAGGCAGGTGTGGCTATGTAGTCACTGCAGGTCTTACCTCCTAACCTCAGTCCTATCACTGCTCACCGGCAAGGGGGAGGAGAGCTCCATAGAGTAGGGGACTGGGGCCCAGGAAAACCCTTAACCCAGGTTGCTTCTGCTTCTGGACAGTTCCCATCTGTGTCCCTGGCTTATGAGAAGGCTGAGAGTGACATCATGCATCTGCGGCCACGGAACCCTAAGCGTGACCGATTAGTCAACGAGCCCCTGGCTGCCTACTCCTACTTCCAGATCGGTGAGTTACCCATGGGGCTGGGAAGCCTGGGGCTCTCCTGCAGGGCTGCTCACCTGCCTTGGGGTCTCTAACTGAGGCTCTGGCTTGTTCTGGATTTTGGTGTCTGCATTTGATCCTGGGTCTCTGTCATTCTGAGTTTTATCTGTACATTATGGTTTCTATGATCCCCTGTGTCCCTTCTCTGCCTCTGTTCTCTATGATCCTGTCTCTGGGTTGTTGCCTTCTTCTGGCAATTTTGAGTTCTCTGGTGTCTCTGTCACTCTCTGTGCTGTCTTTAGTGTCCTTGTCAATCTCCTGGGGCCTTGTCTCTCTGTGTCTGTCTCTCCATGTCTGCTCCTGTCATTCTCATGTCATCATTTCTGTGTCCCTATCTCTCTGTGTCCCTGACTCCGTGTATCTGTCTCTGTGTTTCCATCTGTCTCCCTGCCCCTCCCAGGTGCCATCCAGTCATTTGCTGGCTTCACTGACTACTTCACGGCCATGGCCCAGGAGGGCTGGTTCCCACTGCTGTGCGTGGGGCTGCGGCCACAATGGGAGAACCACCACCTACAAGATCTGCAGGACAGCTATGGCCAGGAGTGGGTGAGTCCCATGACTTCCTTATTTCCAATGCCACCAATCTAGTGTGTGGTACCCATACAAACTGAGCTCAGCCAGAGCATCCCAGACACCCAGACTCCCTGCCAGTTCTGGGGCAGAGGGCCTTTCTTTACTGTATCTTGCTCTAAACTCTTGCTTCTGATGATCCCAGCTGCAGATGGTCCTCTCCCTGCCCTGACAGTAACACATCATCTCAGGTGTGGAACCAGGCCCCTATTCTGTTATTTTTCCTGTAGCACTAACACAGAGTATATGCATTTGTGGCTGACTTTAATGAAGGTCTGGAGCACAGAGGTCAGACCTGATTGGCAGGTGTGTTTAGCTTGTCCTGTGGAGTTACAGATCAGGTTATTTCCCTTAAACATTTACTGCCATGGTTAGAATGTAGACCGTAGGAGCCAGGCTGCGTTGGATTCATATAGTATGCCATGTTCCTCACTGGTGTAACCCTGGGCAAGTTGCTTTGACTCACTGTGTCCATTTTCTCACCTCTAAAGTGGAGAGAACACTGATGTCTACCCCAGTGATGTTCAGTGTGGCCCCTAGACCAGCAGCATCAGCATCAGCATCACATAGGAACTTACTTGAAATGCAAATGATCAGCTCCTACCTCAGACGTCTGGGGTCAGAAACTTTGGGGGCAGGCCTGGAATCTGTTTTAATCAGCCCTTCCGGGGTTCTGGTGCACACTGAAATGAGTACCACCAATCTACCTCATGGGAATATTGGATTAAATGAGATAAAACATGTGAAACACTTGGTACCTGCAGCATAGGAAGTGTTCCCCACACAATGAGCTGGTATTAAAAAGTTATATTGAAGAAATGAACTGAATAGTGACTGCCCCTTTAAGTGCTGTTCCCCATAGGCCTACCTGGTCCACTTCACTTATATTTGCCATCTGCCTGGGCCCTGGAATCACAGGACTTTGCAAATCCTGCCGTGGGATTCCAATTCCTTTTCCCCAGGTCCCTTATTTCGGGTGCCAGGAAATTCTCCCTTCCTTCTTTCTTTATGAAAGCAATTGGATGACCTGTCGCCTATCCATGCACTGACCCCAAGCTCTGCTAGACCGTTTCTGCGCCTCACACTGTGGGTCCTACAAACCTAGCAGATCCTGTGCCTCTCCTTTCCAAGGCTCTGATGCAGGGGAAAGGGCAGTTAAGGCCCCCTGAGTACCAGGCTGGCTGCAGAGGCTCTCCCATTGGGCTCAGGCTGCTTTTGTTCCCCGTTCCAGACATTTGGGCAGCGCCTGTACCAGCAGTACACTTGCTACACCGTGTTCTTCATCAGCATCGAGATGTGCCAGATCGCTGACGTTCTCATTCGAAAGACACGCCGCCTCTCTGCCTTCCAGCAGGGCTTCTTCAGGTGTCCCCAGCCCTGTCCTCAAGCCCTAGTCCCAACTTCCATCAGGTCCTGACCAGGGCTTACTGCAGTCAGCGAACACCAGCACCGAATGTACAGATGTGCCAGGTGCTAATATTCCTTATCGATAGCTGGTCAGTAGCTCCCACCATGTGCCTTTCAACTGGCCCCTCCATGTTTCATCAACTAAAGGGATGATGCTGATAGGCCAGCACTGTTGCGGAGGGGCAGACCACTCCTGTGTTAAATGTTTAGAACATCTCCCTGCTGCTAATGGCATCTGACCTGCTCTGACCAGTACCTTATCTGACCCCCAGTTCCTAAAGGCTTTGTCCTGAGTCCGGCAGTCTGAGCCTGTTCTACCCTGTGCCACCCGCAGGAACAAGATCCTGGTGCTGGCCATTGTGTTCCAGATCTGCATCGGCTGTTTCCTGTGCTACTGCCCGGGAATGCCCAACATCTTCAACTTCATGCCCATTCGGTGAGGGGTCATGAGGTGTGAGCAGAGGGATGGGCATGTGGGACACAGACTGGGGATGGCCCTCACCTTGTCATCTCCCCTGTGCTTTCAGGTTCCAGTGGTGGCTGGTCCCCATGCCCTTTGGCCTCCTCATCTTCGTCTATGATGAGCTCCGGAAACTTGGAGTTCGCTGTTGCCCAGGGAGTGAGTGTGGAGACTGGAGGTCTGGGGGCTGGGGGCTGAAATGTTCTCAGAGCAGCTGTCCAACCTTTGGCCTTCACACTTGACCTCCAAATCAAACTGCCACAACCTCTGAGACCCTGGCCCCACCTCCTGACCCCTCTCCCCTCAGCACTGAGTCTTTGTTTTCTCTCCCAGGCTGGTGGGACCAGGAACTCTACTATTAGAGGGACTGCTGTCTTCAAGTCATCCCTGCCTCTACCACAGACAGGTTGGGGCAAGACTCATGGGACTGTCTGGACAGTCACCAAAACACCTGAGCGAGCAAGAGTCCTAGCCTGACCTGTGTCTGTTCCTGTGTAGCCCATGGCACCCCAACCTGGAAGGGACCCTCCCTACTGCCCTTCCCCATCCAAAAGGGGCCCAACTTCTTGGAGGAAGTCCCTAGGCCCAGTCCTCCGAGCTGGCCTGGGGAAGCCCCCATCTGAGGGGGGAGGTTTGATGGGGAGGAGCTAGTAGCTCCTGTGAGGTGGGGTGCCTGGGGGCTCTTCTTTAAAACACACTTGTGTCTGCGTAATCGTAATAAACCAGCTCACAGTGACTGCTTTTTAATTTGGTGTGGCACCGTCTTAAGTGGTTTTCATGAGCCCCTTTGGTCCCACAATCCTACAACTTAGGGGATATTTGTTCAGGGCTGTATCTCCAGTTCCTCGAACACAGCCTGGCACACAGTAGGCACTCAATAACCCTTCCTTGGGAAAATAAAGTCCCATTTCTTTGCCTAGGGTTAAAGCACTTAAAGGTGAGTTGGATGTGACCACAGGCACCCTCCAGAGCACTCAACCACTCCACTAACCTAAACACTGCCTCTGGGCTCTCTTTCTCAGCACCCATTCTCCCTTTGGGGAGACTCCTTGATACAGGGTGTTAAAATCTTTCCCACCTCAGGCTGTCCCCGCCCTCCAGCCTTCACAGGTGTCTCCACTTGTTCATTCCTTTGCAAAGCAATGGGCATCCCAACCTACTCCTGGGATGAAACTCACAGGCTCCTCCTTACACCCTCACCTAAAAGCTAAGCTTCCAACTGCCAGAAATTCCCGTCCCGGGCCCTCCACCTCCCTCTGGCCACACTCTTTCTTGTCTCTTTTCCCCTTTCTCTAATGAGTCTCTCTGGCTAGGCCCCTGGCTTCTCCCTCCTCTTCATCACAGTACCCCTGCCCACATCTCAGTTCTGTCTCTAGCTTCCCCAGGCATGTCTGAGGACCCACACTCATCTCTGTATCACCCTCCAAACCTGCTCCCATCCACTGTCCCATCAGTAGGTTCCTCCTCCTAGGAAAATGTGATGAGACCTTGGGAAGGGCTCTTCACTCCTTTCTCATCTGTCATTTTCACAATCCCCCCACCACACAGAAAATACCAGGCTTTTGGTCACCACCTCCACTCTGCCTATAGCCACTCTCCTTTCGCCATCCCTGTCCTGGTCCAGTCCTGATTTTCTGGCCTCAGTCTCCCCACCCACAGTGGCCACAGAAATCTTAACAAAGCCAAATCTGACCCTGTCTTCCCCTCACATAGAACTTTCCCTAGTTCCCCATTGTCCCTGCTCAATTCCTCAGCCCAACCCTGGGAGCCTTCTGGGATCCAGACCCTGACTTGTTCACTTCCGCCATCCCTGTCCTGGTCCAGTCCTGATTTTCTGGCCTCAGTCTCCCTACCCACAGTGGCCACAGAAATCTTAACAAAGCCAAATCTGACCCTGTCTTCCCCTCACATAGAACTCTCCCTAGTTCCCCATTGTCCCTGCTCAATTCCTCAGCCCAACCCTGGGAGCCTTCTGGGATCCAGACCCTGACTTGTTCCAACCAGTTAGGTTTGATGGAAAGGGAAGGCCCTGACTTCAAGGCCTTTATACAGGCCTTGACACCTGTTTTCTCCTCTTTGCCTCACTAACTCATCTTTCAGGTCTCAGCTCTTTCAGGGAGCCCAGCCTGCCCCGCCCCTCACCCCCTCCTCCCCTGTCTGGGTCAGGTGGCTCCTTTGGACCACCACTGTTTTACCATCACAGCTCTAATCACTAGTTTAGCTCATCAGTCCTACCACTTCGACCAAGCTTCACCCATCACAGCCCTGATTCCTCTGGCCTGTGCTAACCCCTCCCCCACAACCTTAGCCCCAACCACTCTGGTCTGTCTGTATCCCATGGAAGCTGGGATTAATTCATAGACAGCCACCAGAAGCGGGGCCTGGGAGTCCCTGCTCAGCAAATAGTTGTTGAATAATTTCTGCAAACTTCATTTGTCCCAACACGTGTCAAGAGCTAGGTGGTGCATGGGATAAAGGTGAGAAAGTGACTCCATTACATATCCACCTACCTGGACTGGGAGAGCGCCTGCTCTAATCCCTTTTCAAGTCAAAGTCAGGGTGACCAATCAATCACTTCCCCATTCCTTCCCAAGATACATGTGGACCCTGTCTTGACTAGGGGCAGGGGATGGGGCTAGATAGTGGTTGTATGTTCCCTCTGAAAACACTAAGACTGCCATAGCAGAGCTGAGCAGCTGTGCATGATGCTTTCCTAGGCCCAGGGTTAAATAACATTATGGCAGGACCTCCATTGGTAGAGTGAGGGAGGGGGCAACTGCCCGGTCTCACACCCTGGGGGATTCCACTGGGAAAACCAGGGCTGGGGAGCACTTTCCTGGGTGGCAGGATTTGCATCAAGGTGGAGCTGAAACATGAAATTCAAACCTCTGCCTCTGACAGGATTTGCATCAAGGTGGAGCTGAAACATGAAATTCAAAGCTCTGCCTCTGATATCCCTCAGGGAGGGGTCAGAAATAGGACAGGGAGCTGACCCCACTGAACCAAGAAAAGGTTGGGGTGGGAAGGGTGGCATCCAGGTCAACATCCAAATTTAGGGGCTCAAATGCTCTGCTTGGCTGCAGCGGTCTCTGAACTCTACCCTAAGAAGACTCAGACCAGGATTTTATCTGAGGGCCACAGAACTGAGGAACTCAGAATCACAGAAGTCTGCCCCAACGGTCCAGGGTGCAATGGGGAGCTCTAGATCAGTGGTTCTCAACCTTCTGGCCCTTTAAATACAGTTCCTCATGTTGTGACCCAACCATAAAATTATTTTTGTTGCTACTTCATAACTGTAATGTTGCTACTGTTATGAATCGTAATGTAAATATCTGATATGCAGGATGGTCTTAGGTGACCCCTGTGAAAGGGTCGTTCGATTGCCAAAGGGGTCGCGACCCACAGGTTGAGAATCGCTGCTCTAGATGGTTGTAATGAGGATGAATTAGTGAGACGGTTTCAGATAGATCCCCCTGGCTGCCATATAAAGGGTGGATCAAAGGAGATTAGGGACAGGGGTCTTGGAGGTGACCAGTGAGGGAAGGGCCCATATGGTAGAGGGCCAGGTTAAGGCTGTGAGAAGTCCCCAAGAACTTTGGATTCCAGCTTCCCTCTATCACCTGTTCTCTAATTTGCCACTGCTCAAATATTATATACTTCAAGCCCTTCAGTCTACTCTGGAAAAACAAAGAGCTGAGGAACGGCTATAGGAACACAGGACAAATCAGAGCCAGGCTGTCTACCTGGCTCCAAAGCCAGAACAAGGGCCTCTGGGACACAGGTGAGTGTGGTATTGGTAGACAGCTCCAGAGAGAGATGTAGGCGGAAACAACTTCCCAAATACTGTTTAATTCACTAAAACCTGGAGACAAGGAAAAGGTATGTGAATGCCTGGGACCCAAGCCTAGGAGTGCACGTTGACAACAGCGACATACAAGGCCAGGGTGCTGAGGGCCAGCAGCCCTGTCACTACTGCTCGGGCCAGAAGTGCCGTCCAGCTGCCCAAGGAACAAAGGTGGACGAAGGTCCTGTGGGGAAACATCACGATGAAAGAAGGAAAACAGATCATCCAGCCCCTTTTGGACCCATTCTTGAATTCCACCCAACTCACTCCATGACAAAGGCCTTATAGACGCTGAGAAACATCAGCAGGAGGACAGCTGGCCGGAAAGTGTGGTACAGATCGTAGCGTGTTATCATCCACACCTGGGCAGATGCAACGATGTAATGGACCTGAAGGGAGGCAGGAAGTCAGGGCCAAGTATTGGGGAGAAGTACTGCCACCAACAGAAGGGTGTGTATGGGACAGTAGCACTGCCTACCAGACTGATGTTGGAATCAATGCTCATCTGGATGTATTTCCAGTCAAATTCAATGCCCCGGGCTCCAACCCAGAGGGGGATGCAACTGAAAAAGGCAAAGGGAAGGATTCTCCAGTACCCAGAAACCCTCAGCACCCAGAATCTGAGCCCCCACCCTCCAGAACCTCTCTGAAACCCAGGTGTCCTTTCTCAGGAATCTGAGCTTCAGGCTGCTGCACACACCGGGACATAATGAGCTCTGCAGTGGCCCAGCCCAGGGCAGCAACCATAATCTTGTACTCCCCTTTGCCGGCGTTCCGAGACATGACAAGGTTGAGGCCTACTAGGTCTGCCACATCCACGCTGGCCTTCATGAACTCCTGTGGGTCGGGTTTAGGCTCGAGTAAGTACAGATGCCAGGGGGCCTTACTTCTGCACTCCCTCCCCCTTCCTTGCCCCACTCACCCCAATGAAGTCATAGATGCCGCCTTCCCAGGTGGGAAAGAAAGTGGCCAGGAACAACATCTGAGAACAGAAAACAGAGGTCACCTCAAGGTGTGGGAAGTTACTGTGTGCGTGGTTCTGGGGTTCCCATATGGAGAGGGCCCACCAGATGAGGGGGCAAGATGACAGGACCCGTGGAGATGTAGGGAAGAGGCCTGGAAGCTTTTCTGTGGTGATCACAGGCTCAGACCTGGAGGTGCTGGGCTGGCGGCCACCAGCAGCATTTGCAGCACCCGGTGGTGGTTAGTGGTTCTTAACCATACAAACCCCCTTCACACCATATAACCGAGTTTCTCAATCTTACAAAATTAGCTATGCAAGAGCTGCTTGGAGGCGTCTCCTCAGGTCCCACCCTTCCAAGGCCACCTTCTATGGGGAGAGCTGAGGACCACCCCGCGCCATCGGGCAGGGTGGAGCGCTGGTCTGCGAGCCTGGGGCCAGACGAGCGGCTGTGGACGCCCTCACCTTGCACAGCTGCACGAAGAGGTAGGTGACCCCAGCCTCCAATGAAGTCATAGATGCCACCTTCCCAGGTGGGAAAGAAAGTGGCCAAGAACAACATCTTGCACAGCTGCACGAAGAGGTAGGTGACCCCAGCCTGGACGCACTTCCAGAAGGCATTGTACTCGGACAGGCCGCTGCACTTGTAGGTGATGAAGTAGGGGAAGTAGGCCAGCGCGAAGCAGTTCCCGAAGTGAAACAAGGTCATGGCGCCGCCCCCGCCCACCGCAGCGCAGG